CTACAGGTGCGTGCCACCACACCTGGCTAACTTTTTTATTTTGTTTTTGTAGAGATATGGTTTCATCATGTTGCTCAGGCTGATTTCAAACTCCTCAACTCAATCAATTCACCCACCTTGCCCTCCCAAAGTGTTGAGATTACAGGTGTGAGCCACCATGCCTAGCCAGCAAAGGGTTTTAATGAAATAAATGATAACTTCTTAAGCAGTATTACAATAACATAAAAGAAACAAATGGCAATTAATATTTGCTTATCTGGGCATTTTAAAAACTCTAAAGCTAAGCACAGTAATCCCATAAATTTGGGAGGCTGCGGCAGGAGGACTGCTTAGTGCCAGAAGTTCAAGACTAGCCTAGGCAATGCAGCAAGACCCCAGCTCTACAAAAAAATGACAATACTAATAATAAATAGGCTGAGCGAGGAGACTCACACCTGTAATCCTAACACTTTGGGAGGGTAAGGTGGGGGACATGCTTGAGCCCAGAAGTTCGAGACCAGCCTGGGTAACATGGTGAAACCCTGTCTCTATAAAAAATATAAAAATGAGCCAGGGGTGGTGGTGCACATCTACGGTCCCAGGTACTCAGAAGGTTGAGGAAAGAGAATCACTTGAGCCCAGGAGGTTGAGGCTGAAGCAAGCCATGATCATGCCACTGCACTCTAGTCTGAGCAAGAGAGAAAGAGATTCTGTCTCAAAAAAAAAAAAAATTCCTACCACTACTAATAAAAAATAATAAAATTTAAAAATAAAAAACTCTTTAAAGGATATATAAGAAACTAATGCCTAGGTTCTGAACGGGTAGCGCCGGTAAAAAAGAAAAACAAAAAAAAAAATGCCACATTACTTTCTGGGGAGAATAGTTTCCCATCAGATAAGAGACAACAATGAGAGATTTTATTGTACACTTTCACAGTTTTGGCATCATGTAATTATTATTCAAAATACAATACACATTCAATGCAAACAGGCTTTAAAAAACAGAAAAACTTCTTAGCTAGGTGTGGTGGCTCACACCTATAATCACAGCAATCTGGGAGGCCAAGGGAGACAGATCGCTTGAGCCAGGAGCTCCACATCAGCCTGGGCTACACAGTGAAACTCCACCTCTACAGAAAATACAAAAATTAGCCAGGTGTGGTGGCATGCGCCTGTAGTCCCAGCTACTCAGGAGGCTGCAGTGAGAGGATCACCTGAACCCAGGAGGCAGAGCTGCAATGATCCATGACTGTACCACTGCACTCCAGCCTAGGCAAGAGAATGAGACCCTATTTCAAAAAAACAAAACAAAACAAAAACCAAACACTTCCCATTCTCAGAAGTGGCCCTAAATCACCCAGACCGTTAACTCTGATTTTACCTACTTCCTTCTTGTTTGGTCACTGTGCTCTAGCTTCCACCAAACTCTTTGTCTTTCCTGAAATGGCAGGGCATGCTCTTGTCTTAAGGTCACTGCACTTGCTCCAAAATCCCAGAATCCTTTCCCCCACATATTCCCATTTCTTTGTTTAAAGGTCATCTTCTCAGTAAGGCATCGCCTATCTTTATTTTTAAAATAGTTAACTGTTCTCCTACTCACCCCTTTATGTTCCCTGTTCCCTTCTTTATTCTCCATAGCTTTTCCATCTGAAGTATATCTTATGCTGTATGTTTCCCCATCCCTTCATATCGCAAACTCCATAAGGATTTTGGGTTCACTGCTATACCCCCAGCTTTTGAATGGCATCTGAATGTATCTGGCATTTGGATGACTACAAGCAAAGATCCTTTTAGAAACATTTTTCATTAGTATAAAATAGAATATGTTACTTGTAAGGCATATTCAGAAATCATAAAGAATGATATCTGGCCAGGCTCAGTGGCTCACGCCTATAATCCCAGCACTTTGGGAGGCT